GTGAAGCAGCGTCCTCCACAACTAGATTGAAGAACAAAACGACAGCAACTTGTCTGTTCCCCTTCCCCCAATTCCCCATCACTGTTCCCATCCCCCCAATTACCCAATAAAAAAATCTTAAAAAAAAAAAATAGTCAGCATGCACAGTAAAACCAAAGAAGCAGAAAATAAGCTTCAAATCCCATTACCCAGAGACAACTCCTAGTGATATCGTCTTACATATCTTTCTAATCTATGATTTAGAAATATTTTTGAGGGCTGGCCAAGTGGTGTGTTGGGTAAGAGTTGGCTTGGGAAGCCAGCTCTGAGCAGCAGGACCCCGGTTTGGATCCCACATTAGGGCCAGTGACGCTGCGCCCTCTACAGCTAAGATGATGAACAACAGTTTGACCTAGAGCCGGGCTGCTGTGAATCGCTGGCGATGGCATAGGCTGCAGTGAAGCTGCAGTGGGTTGCCATAAGCTACCGTGAGCGGCTCACAGCCAGCGTGAGCTGCCAAGAGCCCCCGTGAGTGGCCATCCAGTGGCTGGCGACCAATCTGCCTCACCCCGGAAGAGCACAATGATAATACCAACATGGGCCAGTGAAGCGACATTCTCCACAACTAGACTGAAGAACAAAAGGACAGCAACTTGTCTGTTCTACTTTCCCAATTCCCCAATGCTGTTCCCCTCCCCCAATTCGCCAATAAAATCTTAAAAAATATATTTTTGAATAGGTAATGTATGCACTTGGTATAAAATACAAAAGGGACAAAAAGTATTCATTCCCCTCCTCCCACCCAATTCCCCTTTTCAGAGACAAAACACTATTACCAGAGATATCCTATTTGTTTACACATATTTGATGTGTAGACATATTTTCCCCCCCTCACAAATGGTTGAATTCACTAATACTGTTCTGCATCTGGCTTTTTTCACTTAATAATATACCTTAGGGATCTTTCCATATTAGTGTATCACCTTATTATTTTTTAAATAGTTTTATGACATTTTACTGTTTTAGTCACTATTTAACCAATCCTAAATTGATAAACATTTGGAATGGTTCAGTATTTTACTATTATAAACAATGTTTCAATGTCTATCCTTTACATACCTCTTTTGGCACTTGAGTAAATCTATAATGTAAATTACTGGAAGTGAAAATGCTGGATCAAAGGCTAAATAACTTTACTGGAAGTTGCCAAGTTGTCCTCTACAGAGGTTGTAGCATCTACGTGGATCAGCAGTGTATAAAGGGCTAGCTTTTCTTTAATGAATCATTTCTTTACATAACTGAAATTATACTGGCTACACATTGTTTTTTAACTTCACATTATATCAAAAGTATCTTCTCACATCAAAACTTTTCATAAACAACAAGAATCCTTTAAAATTATGTGTTCATTGTAGAAAGATGACCCTATGGATATATAGCCTTCGATGTGCTCATGCACACACGTATATTTATGTGTATGTATGTTTATTTGACAAAAGTTGGATTGTACCATTCCTAACCTGCTTTTTAAAATTTAATATATAATGAACATTTTTTCGTTACTAAATACGGTTGTATCACCAGATTTTTCTAATTTTGCTATTTTAAATAATACTGTGATGATCTTTGTGTATATAATTTTGATTTTTAAAATATTTCCTTAGGTCACAGAGTATCTATATTTTAAAAGCTCTTAATACATATTAGAATTGCTGTCCAGAAAGGCTGGGTCAGTGTCTGTTTTCTTTGTAGCGGGATATGATTCAGCCTGGTCCACCATACTCTAACCAATGTTCGTGGCTTATTTCTTGACACACTTTCACCTAACGCTTATTAGGAGCTATAGACAAATTTTAGTAGACAGATTTGCATTTTTGATTCCAGCTTCAGAGCCTGGTAGCTCTGTCAGCCTTATTTGGACCCTAGGAAGCATTAAAGATATTGGAACAAGTTTGGGTGGAGACCCAACAAGCAGGTCTCTAACCTGCTGCTATGGAGACAGCAATTCAGGACCGCATCTGACAGGCCTCCGAAATACTCAGGAACAATGCACACCAAGGTCTTTTCTGTTTCAGGCCTTCCACTTAAGCTTGTCCCTCTGCTTAATGCCTACTTATTGTTTAGGTCTCGGAATACCTGCAGCTCATCTTCCTTTACTGCGTGTCAGACCCTTTATTATGCACCTTCAGGCATCATCTCCTCTGAGGTTGGTCCATTATTGTCCCTGTTTTGCAGGCAGAGAGGTTAAGCACCTCAGCCGACTTTGCTGGTAATTCTGGCCTCACACTTAAGCTCACCAGTCTTCAGGGCCTGTTACTCTTGACCACTGAGATTCCCTGCCTCGGGCCACTGCCCCCGACCACTAGCTGGACTCTGAGAGCAGCTTCTAAGCCAGACCTCTCAGAGGGCTTTTGTTTGTAGCACAACTTTCAGGTATCAAGTTATTGAGTGTTTAAAAAAAAAGGGTCTTCTCTTGTTATTTCCCACTTTTCCCCAAAGACTGAGAGCTGAGGTATTTGATTGGTGCTCCTTGAGGGCGGGGCCCACATCATGCTCATCTGTGTGAAGGTGCCCCCAGCGCAGTGATGGGAACCTGAGTGCTGCAGTCAGCGACTGGTGTTAAATAAAGCAAGTTTTCCCTAGATTCAAGTCTGATACATGGGCCACAAAGATAAAGGAATTAGGTAGGGTTCAACTAATTCAATATAGACTGTTCCTGAGTGTATGCGTGTGTTTGGTGAGCCTGCTTTGGAAACAGTGTAAAAATACTGCATTATCACTTCTGGGAAGTGATTTTTAGAGTGCTTTTACATTCATTTATAATAATAGCAAGCTCTGTGCTAGGTGTTTGACATACATTGTGTCATTATGTACATTATTTTACCCAAGAACTTGAGAAGCTAGCAGAGTAGCTATTATCCTTGGGTAGGTTTGTTTCGGATTGTGGTTTTTTCCCCAGAGGAAGAAGCCGAAGTTTAGACAGCCCTTTGCCCTGCATGGCCCCCTTTTTATTAGGGGCTGACCGGCACCAATGAGCAGAGTTCTGGGGGGCCACCCAGGCTGGGATCTCCTTTGGCCCCAGGGAGATAAACCAGCTCCAGACCACACCCCCAGGCTTCCTGGTCGTTTTTCTCCCCTTGTTCCTTGGATCCAAAAAGGCTTCCCGGCTTTAGAGGAAGTGCAGCGAGTTGATTCTCATGTAGCGGGAGAAGCGCACGTAGAGGCGGCGGAACCACAGGAGCTGACTGCGGTGGCAGGACATGGCTCTCTGGAAGAATCAGAGGGGCGGTTACTGAACGCCTCGCCCGAGTCATTGCTGTTATTTTCACTGGTCTTCCTTCTAATAAGACACCTCATGCTATATATAGCCTTATCTGGCTTCTCCTACCTCTCGATTGGCTTCCAATCACCGCCTCCCCTCTCCCTTCTCTGCTTATTCCCCTGTGATAATAGCAGATGAAGCCAACGGCAGCCAGAGCTCTCAGCCTCCATGAGTTATCTCAATTTTAACAACCCTGTGAGTTACGTAGTTATTACTGCTTTTTAAAAAATAGACAAGGAAACTCATCAATCTCAAATAGCTGGTAGGTAGCAGAGCTGACATTTGAACCGAGAGTCATCTGATTGACTCTGGGGCCTACATTATTAACCATTTTGCTCCACTACCTCGCATTTTTAACACATACAGGGATGGTTCACGGAGAGCAAGCTAGACCACTACGCTCAGACTCCTGAACTAGGTAGGCTGGGAAGCTACAATCACTATTAGAAGGAAAAAAAGGATGGTATCCATAGGTGTGGGTTCCCCTTGCCATCTAGTGGGGGAAACGTTTGTTATCTTGTTACTCAGACCTTGTATAGATTAGTTTTTAAACACAATAGATCATTGCAACTGATTTTTAACTGTATGTAAACATATAGAAATGGTTCCTGCCTGTTTTTCTTTAAGTACCAAAATTAACATGCCTCTCTAAGTTAAATCATTGCAAACCTTTATTTGAAGAGCTCATTTTATATTTATTATCAGAACACGCATGGCTTTAAAGATGTAACTATATCTGTGATATAACCACAAGGTTTAAATGATAAAGGGAACTATCACTATTGGATAAAATTCAGGCAAAATATTATACAGCATCATTTCAACAGGAAATACAACTAAATTTTTTAAATAAAAAATTATTTGCAGAAAAAAATGAACTCATAGAATAGTGTTAAAAATTTTAAGACCATAGTAAAAATAAAATGTTCATTTTAGAAAAACCGTGAAGGCATGGATGAATTTTGTAGTCCAAAGATACTTGATCTTTTAGATCTACTTGTAATAGTTATAAGTTTCAAGACTTTCCCATATCATTCTGCCCAAGTGGCCAATTTATTTGGATCCCCTAATATTTAATGACTTTTCAGTATCCATTCAATAAGATGGGCAACTACAGGAATTACGTATTTATTGCCAATTTGGTTTTTACAAACTTTAGTTTTCTATTACATTTTGTCCAAATGTTCCAAGGGAATAACACAAAATTTCAAAACTGTTTCTACTCCCCTTCCCCAAACTTAGAGCATTTTCATTACATGTCTTTCAAAACTATGATTTTACTGCTTGTATAATACTACATAATTCTGCTGATTATTAGCTCCTTTTTTTTGGCTGTCACAAATTATTATAATGAACAGTCTTATACGTAAATCTCTGGATATACTTGTTTTCATTTCTTTAGGATAAAATTCTAAAGATAAAAATTGTTAGGTCAGAGGAAGTATAAATTTATTGAATTATATAAGTAATACATGATTATTTTATAAACAATTTTAAAAATTAAAAAACTTAAGTTCACCAAAAATCCTACCACTCAGAGGTAATCAATATTAATATTTTTTTTGCATGTTCTTTGACTTTTTTCATGTGTATATATGTGTATAAAAATGTATCACAGGGGTGGCTGGTTAGCTCAAGTGGTTAGAGCGCAGTGCTTATAACACCAAGGTTGCCGGTTTGATCCCCACATGGGCCACTGAGCTGCGACCTCCACAACTAGATTGAAATAACTACTTGACCTGGAGTTGATGGGTCCTTGAAAAACACACTGCTACCCAATTAAAAAAAAAAAAGTATCACATTATATATATTTCTCTGTAACCTGTTTGTTTTCACTTAATGTATCAAGACTATCAAAAGGTAAGTATAATGTCTGAGATTTCTGACATTTACTACCCACAAAGACTATATCAATTTACACACTATGCTTCAACAATAGACTTCTATCATTTCATCCTTTTGATGCTTTTGTTTTCCAGATTTTCTACAATGAACAGGTGCTATTACTTACTTTTGAAAGCATGCATTATTTTTATAATCAGAAAAAAAAAGGAAGAAGTTCTTGAAAATCTGTGACACCCAAGGTCTACCAGCCGTGCTAATAACACTCAGGACAGATGCTGACCTGCTGGGGAAGGTGTTTGGTAAGGGCCTCTGCAGAGCCAGGGTTCTGGGGGGCCAAGAGGTCTGGGGCACAGACCTGGAGCTGGGTTGTCCAAGAATTTGCCATCCTCACCTCAGCCTGTGCCACTTCTTTGCTGGTGAGCACGAAGAGGACATCGCAGGTATGAAGCAGAGAAAAGGGCAGGTCCAGAAGGGAGATGTACTTGCGCAGCATGTTCACAGACTGAAGCGTGAGCACAGAGCACCCTGTGTGGGAAAGGGAGAGAGGAGAAGGGAGGAGTGTTGTTGCCTGTGGGCAGATCTCCTCTGAGCGCCCTACGTGTTCCGTGGGGCTCAGGCCTGGGCTGGGTAGTGGCCAGGGAGTTGCCAGGTTACTCCATGGCACCAAAGCTGCTCTTTGCCTATCATCCTCACAGATGCGAAGAGTAAAAGGGCCGTAGAACAGCTGGCCACTGCCCTCCCCCTGCTACAATCTCCAGCATGAAAAAGTTGGTTGCTAGAGGTTGGGATTTGGCTACCTCAGGGCCAAGGGAAAGGGGACGGAGGCAGGAATTTCTGTATTCAGAGTCCAGAGACATGGTTCCTGCTGTGTCACTAAAGAACTGACAGATTTGGGGAAGTCCCTTAGCCTCTCTGAGCCTCAGTTTTCTCATCTGTAAAATGGTGCTGATAGTGTGGGAACTGCCTGTCTCACAGGGTTGATATATAAGAACCAAATGAACTATAGTCATGTTCCAAAGACCTCACAGCTTGGTAAGTGCAGTAAGCCCACTCAGAAAGCGCACACACTACTTATGTTTTCATTTGTTCATCTTTATATCACTCCTGTGAGAGGTGTATCTTATCCCCACTGACAGACCAGAAACTGGCTCTGGGAGGTTAAGCATCAGTGTTGTCCAGTAAGTGGTCAAACACCATCCTTTGAGTTAGGAAGAGTTTTTAACTCAATCAGATTAATCTATCAAGCACCTATCAGTCATTTAAACTTGGCTAATTAATTGGGGAATGGGACGTGAATTTGGATGGACTGAAAACACCAGCGGTAGGAAAGACCTACCCTATCAGTAAGCTAGACAGGTGAACGAGAAAGGCCCACTGTGATTTTACTGTTGACGGCACCTCATCACGGGGTGCCCAGATATTTGGCTAAACATTATTCTGGGTATGTCTGTGAGGGTGTCTCTGGATGAGATTAGCATTTGAGTCTGTGGACTCGGTGAAGCAGACTGCCTTCCCCAATGTGGCTGGTCTTCACAATCAGTTGAAGGCCTGACTAGGTAATTTTAGTAACTGTTTTATTTTCAAAAGGCAGAGGGAGAGCCGATTCGTTCTTTTCTGCCTGACTGAGCTGGGACATTGGTCATTTCCTGCCTTCACACTAGGATTTCCATCATTGGTTCCCCTGTTTCTCAGGCCTTTGGACTCAGACTGAATTACACCACCCTCTTTCCTGGGCCTCCAGCTTGCAGATAGCAGATCGCGAGACCTCTCAGCCTCCATAACTGCATGAGCCAAGCCCTTGTAACAAACAAATAAACACACTCGGAGGCTGCCTGGCGGGCAGGGCACTTCCCAATGGTACAACGTGATTTTGAGACCTAGGGACCTGCACTGTCAGAAACACGGAGGTGAGTGGGGAAGAGCAGGGCCAACCCTCCCGTCCTTTCCGCTGCTGCTTGGCCCGGGGCAGCTCTGTGTACTTACAAATTTCCCCCGGTGTTTCCCTGTGGGACGGTGGCCTTACTTTAGCCAGCGAGCAGCCTTTTGCAAAGGGGCAGGCCTTACCTTTAGGTAGCTTCCCTTCTGAGTGCAGGGTCCTGGGGGAGGGAAAGGACAAGAGGAGAGAAGTAAGATTTCCTTTGCAGTTAACAGGAAGGGCCTTCAGCGGAAGGCCTGCCACACCCTATGGTCCCTCCAGGTAGGTTCTTAGGTACTTTCTTTTGTCACATAGATTCATGGGGTTCCATACCTCTGGCTACAGCTGAAGGGACCAGGGTGGGCACCTAACCCAAGGATGGCCAGTCTGGAGGCTGGCCAATGGCTTATGAAGTGCCCTGGTCCAAGCCCCTTAGAGAGGAAGGTAACTGCAGGGAACTCTTCAAGCTTTTTCTCTTTTGAAATTGTAACGTGAGTATGGTGGGAGAATATCTTAAAATATTGACATTTCTTCCCTGATAGTTCCTTTCTCCTTTTTCACCTGCCCCACTCCCACCTGACAGGGAACCACGTGTGCTTGAGCTGTAAGAGGAGGGAGAAAGTCAGCAGCAATTATCTCCGAATCTCTTGTCCTTTGTTGTTTTGAAAGCTGAGGGATGGAGGATGCCATAGGTAGTCCCCACTGCAACACACAGACACACACATGAATATTAAAAGGGATTCTTGGGAGCAGAGGTTACGGAAGAGAAGTTGGGAGATAACTTAAACTATGGGTCTGACTCCTCAGCAGAGCCCTGAGAAACAGAAAAATCTGAAAAAGGTTTCCGGGATCCTGAGAACAGAGGTGACTTGTCCAGCAGCCTGGGTAGGGCCCTGGGGATATTCTGAGTTTGGGGTGGTCAGAACCTCCACAGAAAGAGCTGGGAACACAGGATCTACGTTAAGGAGAAGGGTGAGCACTGGAGATACACATCTGAGCTGAAATCACACAACATCACTGAGGAATCTGCACTAGAGGAGCCGGGGTTGGGGAGGGATCCCTGGGAATGAGAACAAGGAAGGGCCTTCTGGTGGGAGGAAGCCAGGAAGAGACTGAGAAGAGGCCAGAGGGGCCAGAGGAGTGAGAACAAGCTGGTGCGAGGCAGGTCAAAGCAGCACTGCAGTGAGTGATAGGCAGGGTCAAATGCCACAGAAAGGTCAAGACAATGAGGACTGAAGTAAACCCAGGGTGTTTGGCAGCCAGGAGATGACTGTGGAGATAATTTTTAGAAGATCGGTGGGAGTAGAAGGCAGGCACAGAGGGGAGGAAGGACAGAAGTGGAGGGCAATCATCGTCTGCTGAGAGGAGCTTGGAGCCTTCTCTGCACAAGAGTTCACGTAGTTCAGTAAGCATTAGTGCCTGAGGTCGGGGGGCTACCCAGACTGAGGAGGGTCCTACGGCCACAAATGGAGCTGAGGCCCAGAGAGAGGAAGGAAGGGCAGCTCAAAAGACAAACCTTATCCCCTTGGCATTTCTGCTTGGAACTGAAGAGGCTGCAGTTGCAGGTGGCAGCGCTAAGTGACCAGTAGAGAGGAGCTCTGAAGCCCAAGGGAGCAGAACCGTGAGTTGGACCGAGACTGGGGGTCTGCCATCAGGATGGGCGCCTGCAGCTGAGCCTGCTGTGAAACTGTGAGACTGCTTTGGGCCTGGGAATGAATGCCAGCCTGGGGGCTCCCTCTTATTGGAAGTGCTTCCTGAAATTTCTAGAGTGGCTGTGTGGTCCCCGAGTGTGTCCCCTCCTTCTGCGATGTTGCTTCGGTTTTCCTGGCAGCTTCCACAAGCCACCATCTACGGCAAGAAGAATACAAAAGAGAGGGCCAGGCCAGAAGGGCATGTGGAAAGGCAGGGATGAGGAAGACAGTATTGATTATGTCGGGGATGCTGCTCTGTCAGGTGCTTTGTATCAACAGCTTTTATTACCTCAGAACAACCTGACAGATTAGGTGTGAATATTCTCATCTTTCAGATGACAAAACTAAGGCTTGAAGAGGTCAAGTCATTTAATCCAAATCACACAAGCTTGCTTACTAATGGAAAGTGGTGGCGAGGTGCCCTTTGGAGCACTACAAAAGGGGACAGGAGATCTGCGTTATAGTTTCTGGCTTTGTCTTTGGGGAGGTGTGAAGCCTTGGATAAATCACTCCTCTTTTCTGACTATGCCTGTTCAGCAAAGACAGCAAGAAATGATTGTGGACTCTTCTTCTCCTCCGCTATGACCTTAGGTGACCAAGATGGATGTCGCTTCTGGGTAAAGCTGCCAGCCACTCTGGTTGCAAATATGGGAAGCACACAACTGACTAAGGCTGAAATAAGGGCTCATACCTGTCTAGATTGAAGCCTTCCCCACTTTCCCCACTACAGTGGTAAGGCCAGCGGGGGGACCCTCCCAAATTAGCCTCAAGTGCCCCCAAATCCTGTCTATCCAGGTACTCTTGATTTGTTAGGAACAGGCCCGATCTCGTCTTTTCTCTGGGGCAGCTCGGTGGAAAATGACAAGGCTCAGTGTGCATCCAGAATGAAGTGCAGCGACTCTTCCAGGTCTGCGGGGCTGGTGTCCATTTTAGTCTTGGAAACCCAAGGCCTCACGGTAACCACAGGGCTGGCTGGAAATACTGCTCCCGCGCTGCCTCATTTTCCCACATATCTTCACAAAACATCACACCCCTGACTGTAACCAGGGGATATGTCACTCCTGAATCTGAAGGGGCCTAATGCAACTTCAGGCCTTCTCTGCAGGTGTGGCCTCTCCCTGGGACAGGATGTGAACAGTCTTTATAGGAGGGGAGAACATTCTTGCCTGCCCTCATTCCACAGTCATGGAAACAGGAGGAACTGTCTGGGTAACAATTTCTAGCATCTTCCAGTAGGTGATGCACAATTTAGGGAGAGGGCTGGAAGGTCCTAATACTGCATAGGTCTTTACAGGAGCAGATAAGACAATGAATGGAGACCTGGGATTCCTGGGTTCTGGTGCTGCCTCTGCCCATGTTCAGGCCAGCAGTGCTGGACAAACCCCTTCACTGCCTTGGTCAAATGAGGAGGTTGGACTTAATGATATAGGTGAGGTCGTTTCCATCTTCACATATTTCACTGCTCTTGTCTGAGAATGTTGGACATGTTTAGAAGAAGGTAATAAGGTAAGTCCTTTACTTCAAGTTACCCCTCTCCTTCCTCATTGCTGGGGCAGACCGCCACCCTGCTGCTCATGGTGCCCAGGAGAAGCGCTTTTTTAGAGTATAGGAAACATGGTCTATGTTTGCATGACTGAGTAAGCACCTAATATCTTCCAGGTTCATTGTTGTTGTTTTTTTGTTGTTGTTGTTTTTTAACCGGTAACATACAGATACATCGCAGTAAAATAGGGTGACTGTGGAGAATAAATGAGGTTTCATGTTTTGTATGTATATCCTCTTTCTCCAAAGAAAGGTTTGAGACAGTGTAAAAATCTACAGCAGGAGATAACAAAATAAATGAGAATAAGAGGAGGAAAAAGAAGGTGAAGCTAGGAGGCACACTGGTTCACAGAATTCAATTCTTAAAGTCTCACACAGGTGCTACAAGGGGTTGTCAATTTGGCCCTAAAGCTTTCTGTGGCCAAAGCAAAGACAGAAATAAAATCAGTTACCCCTTTGCTGTATCCACGGGGTAGAAAAATCTCAGCTGCTTCAGAGACAAAGCCATAATTAAGACTTGACAGAGATTTCTCATAGGGAGGATGTGGTGAGATGTAGCGGATGACACTGCCAACACTGGCTCTCTGACAATAGTGAGTTTCATGGGGCTCAGATAATGAGTGGGAAAGCACCTGAGAAACCATCCACCCTTAGCAAATGAGCCAGCCTCTCCCACCTCCAACACCCAGAGAATTGTACCTCATGGCCGCGTACAGAGCAACATGATTGCTGTGGCCGCTTACACCCCCTGCATCGAAAGTCACCACCTGCAGAGAAATACAGGGTTTCACTCAGGCCCCCACTTCTAACTAGCTATCCCCACTCCCTTGGGAAGGAAAGACAGCACAGAAACATGAAACTTTTCAAGTTCTGAGTATATCTGAACTGACTCTGGCTCAGATCAATGGCATGTAACTACTGGTTTGGCCGATGGCATGGAGACTTTTCCATTGTTTATTCTTGTTCCTGACTAGTGAAGCAGAGTGGAATTCAGCCATGATAGAAACATGGGTTCAGACTATCTCTGTTTCTTATCTGCCTCGCCAGTTATTAGCATATTTAGTTTTCCTGGCTGGCTGCTGTGTGAACTTTGTTCATGTAGATGCTGCCTGATTTATTGAGTCTCTTCCTTGTGCCATACCAAGGGCATAAAAGCTTTGAGGGACAATTTCCACCATGACCCGGGATTAAGTTCACAGAAGAAATATATTTATTCATAGACTGCCTCTATTTCCATTTTCACAGATATAACATTTATTTATGTATTTGTTTGTTTGTTTGTTTTTTGTTTTTGTTTTTGTTTTTTTTTAGCTGAGCAATCCTACCACCTGTTGGCAGCTCAGCGGCAACTCAGCTTGGGTCGGTCATTAAACTGCTGTTGCTCAGAGCTCACACTCGAGCAAGCTCTTAATCAACTGAGCCACTCGGCCGGCCCAACATTTATTTATTAACTATAAGGTTAGTCTAGGTTCCAACATTTCATTTCTACACAGATGGATTTTAAAAAGCCCAAGGAACAATTAAAAAAAATAGATAGTTTGAATAATAAAAGAAGTATAATAAAGGAACCAAGGCCTCAGAAAAAGGAATAGAAGTGGTTGGTGATGGGAAAAGGCAAACTGTTCCTAAGGAACAAAGGTGACCACATAGCATGCATGAAGGGACCTGGACCTGGGAATGGAATATTAATGGGAAAAGATTCACGATTGGTCTTTCTATACGAAACCATAAAACATGTTAATTCCATGTATAGAAAATTCCAAGCAGCTAACATTTATTAAGCACAGGCTGGAGTGGGGTGGTTAGAGACTGAAAGAAAATTTAAAGTCCTATCAACTAATCTTGATTCACAAAAGCTGCAAAAATAAAACCAAAATAAAAACACATTTATGACATGAGACTATTGGAAATGCAAAACACTGATATTAATTAATTTTAGGTATGATAATGATAGTTACGTTGATAAAAGACTATGTCTTTTAGAATTGCATACTAAAGTATTTAAATATGAAATATGATGATGAAGATTTGCTTCAAAATAATACGAGGTGGAGAAGGTAAACAGGTGTTTAAATGAAAATAGTATTGACAACATATTAATTATTGAGGCTGAGTGATCAGAATACAGAGAGGTTCATTAAACTATTCTCTCTACTTTGTATGCTTGAAATTCTCTATAATGAAAAGTTTGAAAAAACGAGTTAAAAGCTTATAAAAAGCTAATTGTATAATGGTGGATATATGACATTATACATTTGTCAAAATCCACAGAATATATGACACCAAAAGTGAACCCTAATGTAAACTATGGACTTTGGATGATGATGATGTGTCAATGAAGGTTCACTGATTGCAACAAATTGTGGGGTACCAGGGGGTATGTGTGTACTTTCTGCTCAATTTTGCTGTGAACCTAAAACTACTCTTAAAAATGCTATTAAATAAAAGTTAACCATGCAATTCAAGTACCCCTTTCTGATCCCATTCCTCCATGCAACATGGTGTGTGTGTGTGTGTGTGTGTGTGTGTAGGGGGGGTGGTGAGGGGGGCCTGCATCTACTCTTCTCTCTGACACTAGTTAACCCCAGTCTGTTGGGCAAGTCACAGAACTTTACCACTGGAAGTTATTTCAACTTTCAATGTCTTGGTTTCCTCATCTGAGAGATAAGAAAAGCAATACCTGCCCTATTTTTCTCATTGGGTTGAGGTGAAAATAAAATGAAACCACGTGGAAGTGTTTAAAACAACGATACTGCGATAAAGCCTAGAGTGCCTCAGCTCCAAGTTCATTGCCATCAGAACTGGCCGGTTGGGGCCAGGTTATTATCATAGGCACGCTGGAGGGCATGCCCTTGGTTAGGGGATTTGGGGCCACATGGAGTTTGGCTCAGTCATTTTTCAAATTCTCCAAGGTCTTTGTTTCTTCCTCATTCCATTTCTTTTTATAATCACCCTCTTTCTTTCTGTTGTAAGGAGGACTGAGCTCAGTTGTATCTAGTTCTCTGGACTTTTACAGATTTCTGCATAACAACAATGGCACCTGTAGTTCTTTACAGACTCCATCCACTCCCCCCCCCCCCCCCCCCCCCCCCCCGTTAAGTTGCAGAAAACTTTGTTCAAATGAAATCTTACCCAGACCCCAATAAACAAGAGATAACAGTGGGGCTGCTCTGGTTTCTCTGAGACAGTGGTTCTCAACTGGGGACAGTTTTTTTCCCAGAGACATTTGGCAATGTCTGGAATCATTTTTATTGTGATGAATGAGGGAGGTTGCTACTGGGCAAAGGGGGTGCTTATCTAGCAGATAGAGTCCAGGGATGCTGCTAAACATCCTACAATGCACAGGACAGCCACTACACAGAGAATTATCCAGTCCCAAATGTCAATAGTGTCACTATTGAGACATCCTGCCCCAAGAGAGCAGGAACTAGGTGTGTTTGGCTCATTGCTGTATCCCCAGTTTACAACAGATAATGAATATCACATAGCAGGTGCTCAATAAATATTTGTTGAAATGAAAGACTGAGATAGGGGCTGGGCCCAGGACACTACCAAACTCCTAGGCTATTTTCTGTAGAGGGCAGGGTTATACTTTCCAAAGCTTTGTCCTGTCATCTGTTCTATGTTGTTCTTGCAATGCTCTTTCAGGGAGCAGACAGCTCAGCACACATCCAACAGAGCTGGGACCCGACAGAACCCAGTTTCCTTCCATATGCTGTGCTGATGGCTGCAGAGCCAGCTTTGGCTTTGGACAAGGGAGAGACTGTGCTATCGTTCCAGGACAGCCCAGGTGAGAAACTACCTTGTGACTTAGCTCTGTGCTCCTCACTTCTGTCTATGCTTCCCTGTTGGTGCTTCATCTTCTCTAATTGTGCAGTCAATACTTCCTGTCTGGACAGGGCAACCGGGGCCCTTCCAAGATTTATGCACTCAGCTCGGTACAGGACACACTCCACAGAGTGACTTCTCACCTGCCTAGTATTGATCCCTTGTTCCTGGCATGCGGGGACTGCAGGTCTGTGGGAAAGTGCGTTTCACTGCATCATGGGGTGCTGAGTGGAAACGCACACTGAGCTCGACTACAGCCATTTATGTCCACACTTTCCATGGTGTTAGCAGCATGGCCTTATATTTCTAATGTCACACTAAGTGCAGACCAGGGAAATTATTCCCAACCGCACTCTTATAACCTGAGTTTCCTTATTATCAGTAGGGTGTGTTAAAGAGCTGTTTTAAAAGGATTTCCTTGTTTATAGAAATGAAATTAATTCAAGATTATCCTGACAATAAAGGTCCCTTCACTCATTTGAATGGATGTGAGCATATCAGACAACAGGAAGGATTCCAGGCAGCCAGGAGGCAGTTAATAGTGGCAGCAGTTTGGGGATGAGCACTGTCTGGGGCTGCGCTAGTCTCCTGGGGATAGAAAGAGGCCATGGCGCAGTCCTTGCCTTCATGACCTTACAGTTTAGTTTGCAAGACATGGTCTGTACTTTAAAGAATAAACAGCAACACACGTCACAGGTGTAGGACACACTGTGAATATTGCAGGAATCTTCAGGAGGGTTGAAGAAGTCAGGGAAGGCTTCCTGGAGAAGGCAGTCTTGATGCGAGCCTGGGCCACAAATCACTTTCCTGGGACACAAACACGGGAGACTTTTCTGAGAGCAAGAGTAGCATAGAGAGATGTCTGTGCCCTGAGATCCTCCCTGGATGTTCAGAGCCGAGACTAGCTGCAATGTGGTCTAAAGAGCCTGGTCCTTCAGCAAGGACCAATCCTGTTGACCAGTGTCCAGTACTTAAGTAAGGGCCAGATTGAAGAGGGCCAAGTTTAGAAAGATAGGAGTTTCTCCTATAAGCAGGAGTTACTGGGGAGATCAGCTGTTCTTATGCACTGAAGTAGGGGAGGAGAGAGAGTATTTGGGGTACCCAGGGGTACTGCAGCATACTTCACAGACCTCACTGTGTTACTTCAGGCTGGCCCTGAACACCAGCTCTGTCTACATCTGGGTCATGGAGTCCTGAGAAGTTCTGACTATGGGGATGGGGGCAGTCAGCAGGGCTGGGAGCTTGACTCTTAAGCTCTTGGATGGAACCCTCCACTTTTCATGCTCAGATTTGCAGTGAGCCAGTTAGGTGCCCTTTTGGCTTGTGTGGACTAAGTTTCAGTTGTATTTCTGTCATAAGAAAACAAAGATGGTCTGACTAATAAATCAATGGATATCTGTTCTTACCAAAGGTCTAATAAGTCAATTCACACAGCAAATTCATCATTGATAAAAGCCTAACATGTTTCTTCTCTGCCAGAAGGATTCATCTTTTAATGAGGATTTATCAAAAGTTAATTTTTGATATGATTGGGGCTTTAAATGGTTGAATTTTAGGATTACTATTTCAGAAGTGGACAGTAAGCCTTCTTAGCAGCCTGAAAATTGATTACTAGCAAGGCCCACTCCAGTGGATCCTGGAGGGCTGAGATGCGTGTTCCCAGACTTGTCCACCTCTGCACATAAATGTGAATCTCCACTACTGCTCTGTGACTCACATGTTCTTATACCGGCTGTGAATTTATCATCATGATTTTTGGAGTGAGACACTGAGGCTTAAAGTCCTAGTTTCACCACTTGCCAAACTTGGGCTAGCTGCTTGGCTTCTGGTACCTCCAATTCCTTGAAGTAAAATGAGAATTTTAACAACATTTATCTCTAAAGTTAAAACGATACTGTAAATGTGAAGATGCTTGGTAAAAAGGTAAAGTTCTGTACAAATGAGAGTCACAGCACAGGCTCCTGGGAACCTGAGCTTTTAGGTGGCAGGACAGAGGAGGGGGGTGGGGGAGATAAAAGAGGACACAGTTGGAAAAACCTCTGCCTCTATCTTAGTGTGCTGACAATTTGGTTACTTAGTTTTGCAAGAGGTGTGTTGTCATCAGGAGGTTTAAGAGAGAGCACTGGAGGTTTTGGCCTCTTTTTAGAGTGGCCCTGGAGAAGGGCTGGAAGTGGGTGGGCAGCCATAGGAAAGGTGTGACTGAGATCCCCAGCTCTGCACTCTGGGAGGGTGTCCCCTTACCAGGTTAATGCCATTCACTTCTATGTGCCGGAGAAGGACGCTGGCCACATGCTCTGTGTCCCACTGCACATCTGGGTCATCTGGGAAATCCCTGGAAGGAAGAAGCACAACGTGAGCACCGTTTCTAATCAGGCACAAACTTTTCCCTAAGCTCTGTTAGTTGTGCGCCAGTCTGTGACAGGGATTACATGGGGGTGCTACCCTTAAGCATCCTGATTTCCATCAAAAGAGATACGACTTAGAAACATGACACAGCTAGAAATTGATGGACAATTCCACAGAACACACTTTTGGGGCTTTGTGCTTGTGGCTGAGGGGAAGAAACAGACATCAATGAGATAAGGCTCTGTCTACAAGTTGGAGAGGCAGATCTGTTAACAGCGAAACTGACACAAGGCAGAATGATGGGTATCCTTATAAGAGTAATAGTGATAGTGTTTTAATTGAAAAAGTACAAAGGTATGTTACTTCATTTAACCTCATGATCATCTTTTGAGGAGCCTTGACAGATGAAGTTAAGCAGCTTGCTTGAAAAGTTAAAGTTGGATCGGAATCCAGGTTTTCTGACTGCAAAGCCAGGATGATTTAGTAAGTACTAGGGAGCTGGCAACATCTGCCCTCCGGTGAGGCCACACCACGTCACTTATCTCAGGAGCAGAGGGCTCTGCAGATTGAGCTGCATTTTATCTGTGTCTCCACTGGTCACACCACACACGTAGCTCCTCCTCTGTCCTCTTTTTTGTGCATAGATCTACAGCGTCACATGATATGAGGCCAAGGCTTCAATTTGACCCCCTTATTTGAAAATGTTATAAATAGATATCCATCTCTCTTCGGCTCAGGTTCTGTGGCGACATCCACAATATGACTGAAGGACATGGGCTCTCCTGGCAGGCTGCTATAACCTCTTTATGGACAAAGGCCATTAACTGACCCTTTTAGGACTTTGGTCAAAGGAGAGTCACTGAAGGTTTTCCAGCAGGAAAAATGACATGAACCTCAGCACTAAATAATACAGTTATTTCCATTGCTTCATGTCTACCTCTACGAAACCCTTAGGGTGCCTTCTGTGGAGGGCAGCTTTATACTTTTCAAAGCACTGTCCTGTCAGTCATTTCATGTGGTTCTCATAATGCTCCTGCAGTAAGCAGGACAGATAGCTCAGCTGGTAGCGGAATGGACAGAAAGTAGAGACTGGTACAAAGTCCAGCCTTACTCCCTAGGAATAGAACTAAATATGGTGCGTAGAACATGACCTGCTGAGCTCAGGCTGCTGAAGGAAAAAGAGATACAGGGATCAGGGAAAATACCTTGGTGTAAAGACAGCTACATACATACCGCTGGTGGGGAGGTCCACATATATGAATCAAGGCATCATTTTGGAAACTGAATATACCAATAATACATAGTCACATGGATGGTGAAGCGGTCTAAGAGAATGGGTAGGGCAGTAGTTGGCTAAGCGTACTATTTTCTGGTTCTGAAGTGCTGAAAAATGAACCCTAGCATGGGAAAGCCCATTGCAGCCTTCCATTTATTTCCAGAGACCTGGGACCTGCTATTCCAGGGCACTTCATGGAGAGCGAGGTCCACAGGAAGAGGTGTTACTCTATGCCATTCCTTCAGTGGCTCTACCCTCTCATAGGAGATATGAAGGCCAATCACTTAGGGGCTTTGGGCCTGGAAATGTCCCCTCTGTAACCTGATACATCTGATACGGCAGCATCATCAAGTTTTTGTGATCAAGTCCAAACTCCTCTTGGTCAAGCATTCAAGATTTTCCCCAGTTTATCTCCTTTTTTTTTTTTAATTATTATTTTTTAAATTGGGAAATTGGGGGAGGGGAACAGCATTGGGGGAACCAGGGAAGGGGAACAGACAAGTTGCTGTCCTTTTTTGTTCTTCAGTCTAGTTGTGGAGAACGTCGCTTCACTGGCCCATGTTGGTATTATCATTGCGCTCTTCCCGGGTGAGGCAGTCGCTCGCTGGCCATTGGACGGCCACTCATGGTAGCTCATGGTAGCCCCCTGCAGCTCCACTGCAGCCTACGCCGTTGGTGACTCACGGCAGCCCAGCTCTAGGTCAAGGTGTTGTTCATCATCTTAGCTGTGGAGGGCACAGCGTCACTGGCCCATGTGGGATCCGAACTGGGGCCCTGCTGCTCAGAGCTGGCGTCCCAAGCCAACTCTTAACCAACGTGCCACTCGGCCAGCCCTTTATCTCCTATTTTGACCCTCATTTCTTTTTATTTGAAAGAGCAAGTAAGGTAACACAAGTGAGAAAACATTTAAAAACTGTAAAGGGATATTAAAAAAGTAGTGGCTGTTACTGTTGCATTAGCCTAAGAAAAACCCCTTCTTTCTTGCTTGCTCTGAAACCCCTGCAGAGCTCTTTGCTGACTGCCTGTATCAGTGGTCAGTGGTTTCAGAGTGGGGGTGGTCACTCCAGGAGATGTATAAGACAATCCAGGGAGGGAAAGCCAGAAATCACTAGAATTTTTATTTATGTTTTTCTATCTTTTAAAATTTCTATTCTGGAGCTATTTTATAAGGTACCATATACTAACAGAGTTTAACAATGCAATTTAAATAATAAACCACAGATATGGAAAAGCATACTCAAATTTTGTTTCTTTCTGTCAGGGGACGATGATCAAAAATATTTGGAGATCACTGCTCTAATCTAATCACCCTACATTTTATTTTTCCCTGGATATTTAAAAACAACTTTATTGAGGTATAATTTATATAATATAAAATCCACCCACTTAAAATGTACAATTTAGTGATGTTTAGTAAATGTTTTGAACATCTACATTTTATTTTACTAGTGTTTTGCATATATTTGGCTGACCCAAAGGCTGCTATACCTAATCAGTCTGCGAGGGGTTGAAATATACAAGGAAGAGCTTTGGAAGATAGCAACTTTATAAAAGTATGAATTTCAGAGGGCAGCAGGCCTCCCAATGGGATCACCTCCCCTCAAAGCAGGAAAATATAAAATTTGACACTAAGAAACTTCAAACAGATACATGTTAAAAAAGTAACTCCTTTCAGACCAACTGCCTGAGTTGTTCTTTGCCTAAAGTTCAACCCTAATCAACTCAAGGCTTGGGTCTAAGTAATAACTTTTGCAAAGTTCCTTTCTTCTCGGATGGAATAACAATTACACCTTAGATAATAAACATGCTGGCAGAATGTAAACAGAAGTGTTGCTGGTGAACAAACTTTGCCCCATTTTTCTTTGTCCTGTAGCCCTCTTCTTGGTGGCTGGAGTTTGTATGATGACTAGAATTGAAGTAGCCATCTTGGTCCATGAAGTAATCTTAGGTCTGAAGGCCAGACACAGCAGAGTGACAAAAAAGGAAGAGCCCTGGCCCTTACAACTTGTGGAATAGAGCCATTACACTAGTCCCAGACAGCACACCTTTACTTGTCACAATTATTGTGGTTTTTCTGTCATTTGCTGCATTATCAAAACCTGATTTATATATGCCATAAAATTTTAAAGTCTCCATTTAAAAAAAATTATTTATTATTGAAATAAGGTTGTAATGAGCATCCTTATACATAACTCTTTGTATGCATCCCTCAATATTTCTTTGGGATAAAATGATAGAAATGTAATTTCTATATAGTTATTGGCTATTTCTAGCTACATTACAAATAAAGTATAGTTTCAAACTGGAAAATAAAAAAGAAAAGAAATGTAATTTCTGAGTCAAAAGTGAAGTGAACATGTGTAGATATCTCTTTTAAGAACCCTGTTATGAAGAAGAGATGGAAAGTATGTTAACTCATAAGAAGTGCAGCATTAAGGGGGTGTTTTTTAAAAGGAGAGAAAGAATTGTGCATTTTATAGGCTGAAAGGAAAGACTAAAATGCATAACTTATAGCAAGAGACCCATTCTTGGGGCCAGCCGAGTGGCTCAGTTGGTTAAGAGCTCGAGCACTGAGCAACAGGGTTGCCAGTTCGATTCCCACATGGGCCAGTGAGCTGCACCCAAGCTGAGCTGCCAACAGGTGGCAGGATGGCTCAGCTGGTGAGAGCATGTGCTCCTAACAACAAGGTTGCTGGTTCGATTCCTGCATGGGATGGTGGGCTATGCCCACCCGCAACTAAGATTGAACATGGCACCTTGAGCTGAGTTGCCCTGAGCTGCCAATGGGCAGCCGGATGGCTCAGCGGTTAGAGCATGTGCTATTAGCAACAAGATTTCCGTTTGACTCCTGCATGGGATGGTGGGCTACGCTTACCCGCAACTAAGATTGAACATGGCACCTTGAGCTGAGTGGCTGTGAGCTGCCGACGGGTGGCTGGATGGCAACTGGACTTGGAGCTGAGCTAGCTGCGCCCTCCACAGCTAAGATTGAAGGACAACAACTTGGCTGTTCCCTTTCCCCAATTCCCCAACACTGTTCCCCTTCCCCCTTCACCAATAAAATCTTAAAAAAAACAAAAACAAAAAAGCCCCATTCTTCTGAAAAACCTCAGGTGCAGAAGCACCTTCTTTCTTATCACTATAAGCACCCCAAAAAGTCCAGTTCATTTACTTCCTTTTACAGCTGGAAAGACCTGGTTAGAAGAGAATGATTGACTTACATGGGGCATTATGTAGGCACTACGGGGGCCAGCTGACTGAGCAAGTATTATAATAGAATACATATATTGTTAAGACTTCAATTTCATCTTGTTAACCAACCCTTCTCCTTGGAAATCACATGTATGTAATTCAAAGCCAATATGAAAGTAGAAGTCAAGCCTCGAAGAGTAGCCAAGCTTTGGATTTAAAGAAAGCTGGGAATCACTCTCCCTGTGTGATGCAAATGGGAACCATGCAATGGACCTGCTTCAACAATAGACAGGTGTTCTAAAGTAGCTCCTTGGTGGCTGGCCGAGTGGCGTGCTGGGTAAGAGTTGGCTTGGGACGCCAGCTCTGAGCAGCAGGGCCCCGGTTCGGATCCCACATGAGGGCCAGTGACACTGCCCTCTACAGCTAAGATGGTGAACAACAGCTCAACCTGGAGCTGGGCTGCCATGAGTCGCCAGCAACAGCTTAGGCTGCAGTGGAGCTGCAGGGAGCTGCCATGA